GTAAGATACCTCAAACTTGTGTTTTATTAAATGCAGCTTAAATTAGCAACAGCTCTAAATCCACTTGCTTATAACACCCTCTGAATCTCATAGACAATGCACATAAAAAGAAAACACATGCAGATCAAAATTATTAGGGCAAACTATTTTCTTCTTAATCAAAGGTGCCTTTTTAGTTAGATGTCATCCAGCCACATCTCTATGATCATGTTATGTTGCACTTTTGGAGGGTTAGGTTCTGACAACATCCAGTTTGCTTCTGGAACTGAACTGCCTTGACCTTACAGAATAACTTCTGTCCAGGGGTTCTTCCAAATAAGGCTTATTTTTATACATCTGAATATGTAAACAAATATTTTTTATACATATGAAAGAGGATTTGGCTTGCTGATTTTTAATAACTTTCAATATAGAATTTTATGATGTTCCTAGGCTTTCGGTATCACAAAATTATCATTAGGCCAAGGGATATTTCTACAGAAGAGCACAGTCATCATGGGACAGCTGCTACCATGAGGACTACTAGCTGGGATGCACTACAACATGAACACAAAACACTATGGGAAGCATGGAAACACCTTCACAATCTTCTTTTAACATTGGTAGTTCCCTCTTTTTCTCTGAAAGGCCATACACATGTGAACAGGATTTTCCCATGGTTTGGGAACTTGTTCAAATTTAGTTGTACTACTCTCAGAACTGAAAGAGACTCCTGAATTAGCACAGCTGAGCAGGAAGACAGAAAATATGAGAGAAGTATAGTATTAACTTGCTACTTAAAATACTCTAAAAGGAATTCAGGCTTTCAGCTTCTTCTTATGTCACATTTAAGTTCTGGATAAATCTCTTTCTGAGCTATTGACTTCCCTCTATTTCTTCATGGTTGCGTGCGACAGAAAAATGTATTTAACACAGACGATGTGTGTTCAAATGATCTAATATAATACTTCATTAACAAAGACTCACATGTATCAGAAGTTGCTAGTGCAATTCTTTTTCAGACTTGAGGAAGGATAACCAAATATTGGGTAACACACTGGGAAGACTATCAGAGAGTTTCTCTATTTGTTTATATAAATGGGCCAATGCTTCAAAGCACTTCAGAGCACTTAACTAAAGCAAACAAGCACTTGAACTTTAAATATCTAGCAAGAGGAGCTATTGACAAGTATGACTTTACTTAGTAAATCCTAATATCTCTGCGAACTTTAATTCATCCAGTCTCTTCACAAAGAGAAGCAGCAGACTATCTCAACTTCAGCTCCAGTGCAAGGTACACAGTGAGAAGGGTGAGCAACTGCATATGCCCCTTTTATTTTATTTCTTTTTGTTAAACACAAACTGCCTTTTTTTTTTCTTCCCCTATATGGGGACCCTGTGCCCACAGTAGTCTTTAGAAAGCTGTTTCTGATGTTAAATCAGAACATTATTCTCTCTCATTTGGCCTTTAAAGTGGGATTTCTCCATCTTAAGAACATTCTTTTCAACTCCTTGCTATCCACAGGCAACTAAGCATCGATCAGGGAACATCACAGTTACCAAACACTGCTCTATTAACTCCCAACAGGTGTTAGAAATGCAGTAGAAATAGCTTCCTACACTCAGTAAAAACACTGAGCAAAAGCATTGCTTTGCTAAGCAGTCACGTAATGGGGTTAGTTTCATGTGCACCTTTTTGGTCTTCATCTTGTAAAACACTCCCTAGCTACTGCAATGTATACAATTACAGTGGTCACTTCTTCATCAAGAAGAGTGTGATTGGATGCACATATACATTTCCGCTGAGAAATCAGCATCCAAAGAAATAATCTAAATTATTATTCTGTTGGACAGTATTTTTTTTTTCCCTTTGCAACATTATGACTTCATGTAGGTCAAGTACCATGCAGCTTCATAACTGGACTTTCTGCCAAATCACATTTGCAGCTATACTCTGAGAAATGGTGAGGATTTACACATTCAGTGGCAATTTTCAGAAGGAGAATACCACCAATATTTACCATGTCAGCTCAAGTACTAAGTTAGCACTGAGAACCATGAAGGCTGCACTTAAGCTTTTCCATCTAGCAGCACATACGTCCCACTAGCAGAACTCCTGCCAATGTACGACTCATCCTGCAGGACTCTTTGCTTTTTATTTCTCTCAATTTGTTTTGCATACAGTCTGTGTAGCTTAGCAGAAGAAAGGTGATGGAATAAACCTTTACTTTTCCTTTGTTGCTATATCTGAAGAGAAAGAAAACAAAACATTTTTAAACTGTATTCTGGAGTTTGAGAGCCACACTGGGATTTCATTTTGCTAATTTTAAGTTACACGTTTTCCTCAACACAAAGCATGTTTTGAAAAAGTTTACAGAATGATTTGTAAAAGTGTGTGCTGGGAGGAGTGAGGGTTGCTTGTGTGTGCACATTTGTACAAATGCGTGTAAATTTGGTGGTATTGGCTGTTAAAGATTTGCATGGGCCAGTCCGGTAATGAAGACTCTTCAAAACCTTATCCTACTAGAAAAAAACAAAACAAAACAAAACAAAAAAAACAATACAGAAGAGATGCAGTTAAGCATACGAACTACTCAGAGATCAGGCTTCAGTCTAGGTACAGTTCCTGAAGGGAACAGCTTTGAAACTTCTTTGAAATACCCTTTAAGTTATAATTGGGTTTTAATACATAAAACAGCCAAGCAATTTAAATGTTTGGAAAAGAAAACAGGCTGTCCTAGAGTTTACGAAGTGATAAGCCTGTTTCTTATCATTAACTATGAATCCTGATTTCAAACATGACCGTCTACTAGCAAATGCTCTCCACAGCTGACACTGTAAGATCACGCAGTGTTTATCAAATGAGTATTCCAGGGCCCAAATCTGATATTATCCCCCTGCTCTCCCCTCCCCTCAAGCCAGCTTGGTTTCTGCAGAAGTATTTTTGCTTTCTACTCTTAAACAAGAAGTGAAAGCAGAATTAAGGTTATTTTTTGGGTGTTCTACTCATGATACATTTCAGTCTACTTCACAAAGAAAGTCAGATTTGGATATACAGAATGCATATCATGATGTTCCCATAAGAAACTGAAAATAAACAGAAAAATAGAAGTGTTCAAGGATAATGTGGCGCTCTCTTATTTAAAGAATAATTATTAGCAGTGAAAGACCAATGAAATAGAGCCAGGACAGCATAAAGTGTGTTTCTGGGTATCAATATCCCAAATAATATACCATTTCAAAGTAGTGATAAAAACAAGACTATGTCAAAAGAATACGGAATTCAGTTTTCAACACGCTGTAAGTAATGTGATCTAATTTAGAAAGCCCTCCAAATTCCCATGGTTTTGGTAAAAATGAATTAAAGGGTGAAATTAAAGAACAAAAGAAAAATTTAGACAAAATGAACTGAGAAAGAAGAGACAAAAGCAGTGAAAAGAATCAGATACAGGGAAAGTACTGGTCTACTTTATTCTAATAATAGAGTCATCAGAGTATCTGCATGCACTAACACCTAATTTGAGCATCCTGAATTCTGATCCTGATTTCCAGAGATGGCAACTACATATTAAAAAAAAAAAAAAACACCTTAAATTGCTCATTACTAGAAATAGATTGATTTGCATGAGAAAGGTACAGAGTTAGATTCCCATTTCATTTACGAACATTAAGATCATAGACTGAAATCTCTAAATAAGCCCTAACCCCAGGTTAACACTTCCTGCTTGGTGGCAGCAACATCATTGCCCCCAGGAACTGGGCTGCATGGAGCAGGCCCAGCAAAAACTGATCAAGGGCTTTGGAGATGAGCATGGGACCCTGCAACTCTGTTCTGTGTTCAAAGACAAGCCAACAGGGAAACATTGGAATGGGAAAAGTCATCACCAGTGAGAGGCTGGAACGTACTTGGGTCGGTCTGAGCACCTGACAATACAAGTCAGTCTTGCAAGCAGCTCAGCGGTCAGCAAGTAAGGACCATGCAGTGAAGGCACAAGGATCAGCTCACATGGAGCAACATCCAAAGCTGCAGACATGCTCTACTTTTCTATTTCTTGTTGGCTCTCTCCCCTTCAGCAAAATTTGCTGGCAGGGGTGGTCAGCTGCTTTGCTTCTTCTTATGTATGCGAATTTAGAGTGACCAAAGAAAAGCGAGTTTATCCTAGAAACCAGGTAGGAGTAGTCCAGCATGGTGTACACTGGGGACAAGACATGCTGACTGCAGAATAACAGCCGTCATTTTCAACTCTGTTATGTTTTGCAAGGTTAGGAGGTGTTTTTTTTTGTTGTTGTTTTTTTTTTTGGGGGTGGGGGGGGGGCAGAAGGGGGAGAATCGGGGGAATGGACGCTAAATTTAATATAAGCAAATCACCAAGATATTAGAAAAGCAGAAGCTAATTTACCTGCTTCTTTAGAGAATAGCTCGAGGATCTAAGTTATTGTTTTCCCATACTTCCAGCTCAACTCTAAATATTACATTGTCAGAATCATCGTCCCCTGAACGCTACATGTGAAAATTCCTAATTAAGCATTTTTGTGCTTTAACACTTTCTCTAGGCACAGTTGCCCAAATAGTTAAGAACCACCTCAATGATCGTCAGACCCATGCTGAAATTTGGCATCTCCCTTTGTTTTGCAGTGGAGAGTGTGTTTTACCCCAGATAGTGGCTTGTGAGCTTCGAGGACAGTCAGCCACTACAATCTTTCTCATATGCAAGTACCTATCATGTTTCCTTGTTTTAAATTACTGCACAGTTACAGCAGCCAAAATGCATTTATTTAACATCAACAACTAAAACCCCGCATCCGACCACCCTGGACTCTTGGAAAGTTCACGAGCAGGACCCACATTTGACACGTCAGCTTGCAGCAGCAGCTCACACTTCATCCCTCTGAAGCGATACGCTTCGAGAGGCAAACCACAGGCTCCTGGCTGCACTCTCCCACCACCCCAGAGGCTCCTGCCAGCACGTTTCACCAGACAAGTGCACAGGAGAGGGCACGAATCCCCTTCATCAACTCACCATCCTTTTCTAGTCACATTCACTACGCATTGCATTAGAAAATCGTAACGGTGTTAAAATATTTTGGCAGGATTTGTTATGGCCAGATCACTCACTTCCTTTGGGACACACAAAGCCTCCTCTGGCAATGAAACAGCCAAAATGTCAGCAAATCCTATAGAACAAAAAAGGGTCCGTCAATGTAAAGCCTAAATGAATCTCTATTAAAAACAGAAATCAAACAAACAAAAATATGCATAACAAAAAACATGAGCATAAAAAGAAACAGCAGAGAAATATTCACTTTTGATTAACATTTTCTTTTTCCACCCTCCAGAAACTTTTTTAGCAGCATTACAATGTATTCATCACAAGGTGCTATTAGAGCACAAGCTCACTCCGAGTGTTACCAATTCGCGGACAGATTAGAGGGCACATTAATAACATAGTTAATATGAAGTGTTTAGAGCCTTTACGTCTGTGACAAATACGACTCAGCCAAATTTCCTGACCATTGAGGCCACGGAGGAACAATTTGGTAGATTTCATCAACAGCTCTAATTATGTTCCTGTCAAGTCGAGAACAAAGTAATCCATAACTGGGGGGCTGCTCAGAGACAGTGGCACACAAGAGTAATTTATGCCCAAGACACAGGGCCCTTGCTGTAGTTAGTGAGCACAGCGCCTGACTAACAAGTGGGTTCAAAAAGGAATTTATTAGGAAAAACACAGCCCACCGGCTGCGAGTAGCTTGTCAGGTGCAGGCTTATGAGGTGTTACAAGGCAAAGTCTACAGGCAAGCCTCGTCTATGAGACTTCCCACACCCATACTCGTCCCTGCCTCTTTGGGTTTAAAAAGCGGGTTTTCAAGCCCAAAGCATTGCTTAGCAGGGGAGTGGGACCCGAGGACTGGTGAGCACATGGCCATGACCCCGTGCTTCAGAAAATCTGTTCAGTCGTCGGGACACGGGTAGCACCGTGAAGCAGAGCGGATGCCCTTTCGCGATCCTATAAATAATGCGCTAATGAAACACCCAAAGGGATTATTAGTAGCAGTAGCCTAAAATGCCACCATACACGATACGTTTCCTACCACAGCCCAACTATAAAACAGACTGGGGAGGGGTGCAACTAGGAGAGAAGCTGTCAGTTAATTTTGAGTCATTTTCCACCATGATCTATACTGGGATGCAACCTCTGTGCTTTCAAGCAGGATAATTTCATATGTGACACTCTTGATGCATTTCACAAAAAGTCTCTTTCACTTGGGACAGGCTACTTTTATAAGTAGTAAGATGTTAGAGAAAACAGTGTTATGCATTGCAAATGTAATTAAGAACAGTATCTATAAACCTTTGGAAAAAATAGCAATAGGAAAAAGTTATACTTAAAACATTCTCATGTGACAAAAACCAAATACAGGATGGATTTTAAAGCAACTTTCTGAAGTTAGCTGTGAGCATACACTCTTGTCAGCAGTCTCAGGTTTTTATTTAACAAGACAAAAAACACAGAACTTAAAAAAAAAAAAAAAAAAAAAAGTAATTTTACATCCCTTTCTTTGATACTGAAGAACCAAGCTTATAAAACCAGTGCCAGCAACCAGAAGGGACTGAAGCCCAGGTGAGGAGAGCACTCAAACAAGGCCCACTTTGAAGACTGACCTGCATGGGGGCCTGTGAAGGTTGCTTTCTTTTTCCTAAGTTCCCCACTGGTAAAGCAGGTACCAGCATGTGTAGGGAAGGACACTTGTCCCTACATGCTGTATCTTACCAATGTATTTTTGAATTGGCTTCACTAAACTACCTCATAAACAGTGGCACAGAGTGAATGCAGGATGTGGCTGGGGAGCACTACACAAAAGCCCTCAACCTCTTCTTTCATGCTTTGCAAAGGAGTCTTATTCAAATTTGCTTGAATACATCTGAACTGGTAACTTCTCTGCTCTTAGGTTTAGGGAATTCCCCTGCACCTCCTGAGCTGGATGGTATTGGTCTCTTAGGGAGGAAGCACTTCACAGAATTACGATTACTCACACCTTACAACACTTTGCATCCAAGGATAAACAAAAAAACAAACAAACAACACTTCACAAACATCGATGGCTTCAACTTCACAGCGAGGTAAAGCAAAAAGGGAAGGACACGATGTTATTCTGCAGATGCAAGAAGAGAAAACTCTAGTAAATCACCCAGAGGGTAACCCAGGAGCCGAGCAATGCTGGACTTCATAATTCCCCGGCTCGTGATTCAGTCACAAGACACGCTTCCTCTCCTGGTGAAATGTCATGCTGCCTCATGCCTCTGCTACAGAACACGTTTTAACCAAGTGTAGCAAAAGCATGATGATCCCATTAAGTATCTAACATCTAATACCTTGTGAAAACTAATTTAGTGCTTTATCAAATCTCTAGTTTGTATGTAGAGCGTAAACTGGCTACATTTGCTAATAGGGCAGATTGACCCATCCCATATATTATCAAAACACATCAAAGTCTGCTGGAGGACATAGCCTTAGCTACTTATTATCCTCTGCATTAACTGTCTCACCAGCTACTCCACCAATACATTTCCTTGCAACACATCTGTCACGATTTTGCTGAGAAATCAGCAATTCTGAGCAGTGCAGTGGTCAGAGACAGATAACAGGACTAAACCCATTGTGGCCACTCGAGTTCCCAAACTCCCGTTAACTGGCACAAACAGAAACCTGCCACGCCAGCACTCCACTGCCGGGCCCCTGAGATTTGCCCTCTTACTTAGATTTGTATTTTTAGAGCTTTCGTCATTCACATGATTTCTTCAAGATTTATTACATACAAGAGAGAAATAAAGCTACATGCCAGCAGCTTCAAATTTACAGGATGATTTTTTTTTTTTTTTAAGCAGAAAAAGGGCATCTTACACAAGAGAACATGTGGCTTAGTAATCAGGAAAGAAAGTGCCAGAATATTACTAATAATAATGTTAGCAATATTAGATCAAATGAGAACATCTTTGTTGGCTCGGATGCTGCGCAGTCGTATTCCTGCCTGTAATATATTTAGGGTATTATTTGTGACACTGTGTAATGCATTGTAAATTTTGAAGCCACACTTCTTAATGGCTGGGAACTAACATAAATGGCAAAGATACTTTTTTATTTATTTAATTATAATTGCTACTATTCTCTGTTAGGTAGTATTTGCCTTTATCTGGAAATGCTGAGCCATTGTACATGTACTATCTGGCTACCTGAATTACCAATTATTGCCATAACCCAGACGGTAATACTATAATATTCCTGAAGAAAGCCAAAACATACTCTCCCTTGTAAAAGAAACCAAATCTACTCCACTGAGAAAATTCGTCTTTCACTTTTCATAAGTGACTGTATATAGTTCTAAGACATAAGCACATCCCTAGTCACTGAAATTGACAAAACATTGAATTCTATAGTTTCAATCATTTTATTTTTCTATAGACAGTTTGTCAAGCTTATAAATTCTAGCCCTCCATATCTTTAAACCCTAGTATAAACAAGTAAAAGGTATTTTGCCGTGCATGAGGGCTGTTATTAGAAGTTTTCTTGGTGATTTCAGAGCCCATTAATGATGGGCTCATTTCTCATCTAGAGAATATTAAAACCTGCTTACAGTCAAGCTGTGGTTTAGCATCACCAACCCAAGCAGGCCAATATAGAGTCTCCTGCTGGGTAAAACTTCTAACAGGTGAACTTCTGGCTGGGGGAATATATCAAACAGAAAACAAAGAAGTGGCCAGTGAGTTAAAATATAACAATTCTGCTCCTGGATTTAACTGCAAATCTTTGGAGTTTTATCCCCCCACCTTTCTTCTCTCCCCCCTTTTTTTTTTTTTTTTTATTCTGTTTTTATTTTGAAATCACAGGAACTACGCAGCCTAGCAAGACTGTAATCACTCAGCAGGAACCTGGCACAAGGACAATACAGCCACCAGCCAGGCAGCGGGAAAATGAAGGAAATCTCTCTCTCCCTCCCCCTATGTTGCTTAAAAGGGGCCCGGCGTGAATGAATCTTCCCGGTAGCCACCAACAATTTCTTATTCCTTCCGAGCAATCATCAATTTCAGCATCAAGTGGTTTAGTGGATCCACAACTGGTAGTGGCAGCCGAGTAAGCCCAGCATGCAAACGTTTTGGCTAATTTAAAACCCTTGTGCTGCCGAATCAAACATGACAAGACAACAGAAAAAGAGAGGCTATTATCCCAAATGAGAGTCGGCGGATGGCTGAAATTGGCTTGAGTGGCAGAGACAAAAGAGGTGGAAGGAGCAGGGACAACCAGGCATGATAATACCAGATACAGCACTCGCTTTTTCCCCCACCCCCTGTGCATCCACACATATCACTACAAGGAGGAAAAAAGGCAACATTTCCAAGTTCCACAGACAGAAAAAAAAATCACATAAAAGGATACAAAATAAATTAGTAGCTGGTAAAACATTTGCCCCATGGGGATGGAGAAACTTAACTTACAAGAGACGTTGCCCCTGCGATAGAAAAGCTAGCACTCTGAACAGTAAAACTGTCATTTCCTACCTGAATTAGTGTCCTGCTGCCCAAAGTTCATTACCGTGAGTTGAGGATCGGAAGCACTGATTTAGGACAGAGTAACCTTAAAACGAGAATAACCTGTGGTACAGCTACCAGTGAAGGGCTGCTACCTGTGGAGAGCTCACCAAGAGCCCAGATCTCAGAGAGCTGCTAGGGGAGGAAAAGTGGAGGGCAGAGGAATTAATTTTGCAAGGCATTTGGGAGGCCATGAGCAGACTGATGATGTTCAGAGCCGTGAACCCTGGTGATGGCTTGCAGCTCACAGAATGACGACCTGTGGGATCACTGGAGAGCAAGCAAGTTGTCTTTTGCAAGATTAACAATTTAAAAGTGCTGAAATTAATTTTGTTTAATAGCTGTGGGTGCAGACTCCTTACAAAGTAGGTTGCAAGGTCAGCAAGCCTCCTAAAGACTTTTAAAATGCAGCTTTTTATAGGGACAGTAGATTTAGGGTGGCTTAGGGCTTAAAGATCTAAAAAGCAAAAGAAGTGCAAAAGGTCATTTCCTACCACTTCCAAATCTTGGGTGAAGACGCATTCTCTATTTCACTTCTCACTCTGCAACATGCATTTACTGGTGCATTCAAAGCTACTTGAAGCAGCAT